AGTCAGTTTGCTTGTTTTAATCAATTTTAAATCATTGTTTTTGTTTCTAATGTCTCTGTAAAGCACTTTGAATCACCTTGTTGTTGAATTGTGCTGTACAAATAAACTTGCCTTGCCTTACATTAAGCTTGCTATGAAAGAAAGAATAAGGTTAAAATCATCTTGCACACATCCAACAGTAGGTGGTTAACTTAACAGAATATGCAGCTGTAGTCATGTGAGACTCTTGAATGTCCTGGAGCTTTAATATTGATTAATCTGTGAATTTACACATCTTGTAATACAGCACGTTCCTAATACAGCTGCTTTGCCTGCAGTGGCTGTATTACAAGACGCATTTCACTTCTTCATATGTTTCTAATATTCTACCTTGCTCATCTTAAAATATGCACTCTTCTGGCATGTGAACATGCTCGTAGCTGGATTATGAGAAACACTGGGTTCACATGTTGAGTTTATAAACACCTTCGTAGGTTTGCCTCATCTTGTGGCTAATGCATGGAGATGTGAACTTGCTTTGAACGTAGTGCAGGCCTCAGGTTTCCTGCCTCACTTTTGTGCACGGGACTTATGACCGGCGCTGGAAATTCCTCGTTCATGGGAATTAGTTGCAATCCCTTTCACGAGTTCACCAGAGTCACAGTGTTACCAGCGAGCCGCTAGACAGTCAGGCTGTGCCTTGCTCAGGAGCAGCTCATTGTTGTGTTGTACTATTTCTCAGGTGTGTTTGATTACTTGTACCATTGAGGGTGGCTGCATTGAAAAGGAAATACACTAATATCACTGTTATTCTGCATTAGTCATAAATCTGGCATGATTGAAGATCCACAACCCCCCTTGTTGTTGTTGTTATTTTGTTTGCTTTAAAGGGGGAATGTTTTACTACCATGACCCATATGCATGACATATTAAAGGAAAAGCCTGAATAAATGTCTGCAGAATGCAGTTTTCATACATTCAGAAGTTATGTGAATCATATGATTTGGCTTTTTGCAGGCACGTGGTCTGAATCCAGTTAAGTTGAGAGATTTGAACCTTAATTGGGGAATATGTTCTGCACAGATGGCTGGGTCCATCCTTCCTGGAGAAATCAATGGAGCGATGAAGCTAATCTGGCTTGTGGTGCTCCAATGTGTTATTTATCCTTCTTTGTCTGTCTGTTTCATCCTATTTCTCTTTATTTATGTATATAAATGTGTTAATAATATTGAAGCACTTGACATGTATCAAAGTCATGGTCTAGTTAGAATAGCAAGGTAGCATAGCTTGTTTTAATCCTATAGATTTATTAGGTTTGCCTTAGATTGAGGTCACTACCACCGCCCAGTTATCAAACAGACATGAAAACAAACAGAACATTACATGTACTGAAAAACGTATTAACCTAAATAATAGTTTATGGAGGGATAAGTGGTAATAAATTCAAGTGACTCCTTTTCTTATAATCAAAAATGCGTTTACTAAGTAAACATATTTTGGACTTTTACAGTAAAATAAGACATGAAACAACAGGAAGGGGAGGAGTTTTTCTTCCAAAAAGGACTTTGAAAGTTTGTTGTTGTTGTTTTAATTTAAACGACATGTGTTTCAGGCTTAAAAGCTGCTGTCATTTTTTAAAACTCAGAAATCATTTGCTTTGTTGTTTGCACTCTTATGGCTGTGCCCTAACAACAAATAATAGCCAGGTATTACAACTATGCGTAACTATCTGCTGTGCTTCTCTCTCTCTCTCTCTCGTTTGCATATTGAATTTCACACATTTACGTGCATTTTTTTATGCAAAATGCAAAATGAAAAGCGCATATGCATGCACTTTCTTTGTTCCAAGTTTCCAAGGATTAGAAAAAAACAGCTTGGGGGGAGAAAGGAAACCAAGATATGGGCGAGATTTTCCACACCCAGCCCTGCTCCGGTAAATAGAGCAAAGGAAAAGCACCTGTCATGGAAAATGTGGAGAGAGAGAGGCGCTCCTGAGCGTCTCCTGCAAACTTTACTTCTCTTCCGCCACAAAGCCAGCAGTTAGGGAGACTCGGGCACGGTTATGTTTTAACCACGAAGCAGAGTACAGCTGTGTGATTGTGAGCGCGCGGTGAGCTCGCGTGCTGCTGGTATCACTTTTGCCTGTATTTTCTCACGGGAGCGACTTGCGAGTCGTATAGTGGCTGTTCTCCGTGGACTTCTACCAACAGGTGTGTTTAATTTCCTTTAATGAGTCCGAGGCTTTTTAAAAAAATATATTTTTATTTAGTAAAATTCGCAACAGTCGTGACGTGTAGAGTTTACAGACCGGTCTGTACAGCAGGAAAAAGGGAAGTCTCAGGCGGTGTTTTGATGTAACGTTAGCGTTAATTGGACTTTCAGATAAGGCGCAGTTAGCGACTCATAGTCGAGTTCTTTTTAACTCTTCCAGTCTGTATTTAAATCTGTCAGCGTTGTTTATTGGGTTAATGATTTTACCCCCTTTATGTTTACGATTGGTAAAGAATTACGTGCCTCACTAACTCAGAGTATTGTTTCCTTGAAGCTTATTCTCTCACTAAGTTGCCCTGCAGGTATTGTTCAACCCCTCATATCACAATAACAAGCTCCAGGCATTCAAACAATGAGGAAGAAGTTATCACGTTTTCCATGCGTGCTTAGAAACGGGAGCTTTCTCACAGCTTGCCTCATTTTGCTCCTGCAGGGAGTTTAAATGGAGCATAAAGTTTCAGATGGGGACATGACAGATGACAAGGCTGATGCTGGATTTAAATTAATGCTTCAGCTCCTGAACTCCACCCTGCTCTCTGTATCCTTAGAGGGTGGGAACCATGCACCGTAGCCAAGTTCATGTTGTCTTTTGCTTTCACAGAGGCTTTCTGTGGGATTTTAAAATCCTCTCACATCCTGGTTCTTCTTTAGGTCATTTCAGCCAGAAACTTCCAGAGTCATCTCTTGAAATAGAAAATATTCCTGGTGGTTTTATCAGCATTCCCACCAGGCAAGCTTTGCTTTGCTGTTGATGTTGGCATGAGATTTAAATAATCCAATGAGAAATCTCCAGCTGAGTTATGCAGGATGGCATACTGGCAGCAGCAACTTCCCTGTATGGAAGCCAACAGGAAGAAGGAAAGGTCACTCAGTCGTCTCCCAGTTATTTGATTAAAACCACATAAACACAACTGTTTCTGTCTGGCTGTGTTGTCATCACAGGGAATCGAGTCACTAAGTTCCCGTTTTCACTCGAGGGCTCTGTTGAGCTTGCATTACAGGAGATCACAGGAAAGCAGGTTGTCCTGTAGTAAAGTCAAGCATTAGTTGGAAGGTTTACTTAAAAAAACACTTTTTGCATAAACGCTCAACTCCTGATGTTCTTGCTTTGTCCTCAGTGACATCTCAATGTAAAACTGACTCGATTGAGCCAGTTCACCTGCACTAAGGGTTCTTGGATACAGACACCATGCCAGAGGCTGTTGACATGATAAACCTGGGCTTCCTGTCTGAATCCGAGCGGGAGCTGATCCTGGAGGTGCTGCAACGAGATGAGAAGCTGAGACAGGCTGAGGACCAGCGTGTGCGGTGAGAAGTGGCTCTTAATTTTTCACTCCTGTCAGTTAGTCACTTGTTATTTAGTTGTTAGAAGTACCAAAATCAACTCATATCTGCCGCTTATTCATTTATTTTTTTACCGCACTTTCGGGGCGACCGTGGCTCAGGGGGTTGGGAAGCGTATCTGTAACCGGAAGGTCGCCGGTTCGATCCCCGGGCTCTCTGTCCTGGTTGTTGTGTCCTTGGGCAAGACACTTTACCCTACCGCCTACTAGTGATGGCCAGAGGGGCCGATGGCGCGATATGGCAGCCTCGCTTCTGTCAGTCTGCCCCAGGGCAGCTGTGGCTACAACCGTAGCTGCCTCCACCAGTGAGTGAATGAATAATGGCATTGTAAAGCGCTTTGGGTGCCTTGAAAAGCGCTATATAAATCCAATCCATTATTATTATTCTGTTATATTTTTAGCCATTTTTACTTCACAAAAGTATTCCCATGCATTATATTCAATTTTCAGATAGTATTTTAATTATTTAGAAATTATGCCCAGTTGGCATTTGATTCTTGTAGGGACTTTATATTATATTTATTGTCAGGGTTCAACTAAGAGCTGGATGATAGTAGCTTAATCCAGTTAAAGTAATATTGGCGAGGTGGCTTTGTGGTTTTCATAGATAAAAATCATAGACAAAAATAGGAGAACAAAAGATATAGATGTTGCCTCTGTCAGTGCGCCCCAGGGCATCTATTTAATATTGTTTGGAAACCTTGTCCATAGGTCCCCCGTCTTGCATCATTATGAAGAAAACACTATGTAATGTACTTGCAATGTAGTGCTTTTCCACACTTACTGTTCACTCAGAGTGCTTAAAACTAAAAATATATTTGTAGAGAACTTCATGCTATACGTGTAAAGCATTTTATCTAACATCAGCTGATTTCGAATCGCCAGTTAACCAAATGTGCATGTCTTTGGACTCTGAAAGGAAGTCGAACTACCTCGAGTAACCCATGCAGACATGGGGAGAACATGCAAACTCCGTCAAAGTAGGGACCCTGTTACCATGAGGCAACAGTGCACTGTGCAGTGCTAGATATCATTAAGTCGTTCTGGAGGTATTGGCGCTTGACGAGCATCTTGAAAAGTATCTGAGACAGCTCACTTTTACTTCAACTCATATTTATCCATAGAGCACCAAATCACAGCAAGAGTCACCTCAAGGCACTTTTGTACTGTAAAGGGAAAAGAAGACCACACATTTAGATGAGCTCCTATGAGCAAGCACTTGGTGACAGTGGGAAGAAAAAATCTCTCTTTAAACAGGACAAAACCTCCAGCAGGACACAGGGAGGGGCAGCCACCTACCATGACCCGGTTGTGAGGAAGGGGAGAAAGACAAACATAAAACACTCTGTGGAAGGGAGCCAGAGATTATTAATGACTAATAAATACAAAGTGGTGTACATACAGAGTAAAGAGGTGTGTAGAAGAAACACTCGGTGCATCATATGAAGCATGGAGTGTTTCTACTTCAAAGCTCCTTCTTTATAAAAGGAAAAAACAAAAACAACAAAACTTTGCACTTATATTAAAGTATGATCTACATTAGCATTGATGTGGTCACCAGGACATTTTAAAAACTGCAACTGTATAAAATTAGTCAAAAGAACCTGAAGAAGCTAAAGCTCCGGCAGTACATACAGTATATAGACCACTTAATTATTGTTTATCTGATATGTTTCATGTTGTGGCCTTCATCTGGCCCATCATAAAACATATTATAGACAACATATTTTAAACAGTATAGGTGTTCGGTAAGGTTAAAAAAATGCATGCATGTTCTGTTTGATGCAAGTGTTGTTGCAGTTTAAGTTCTTCTGTTAAAGAAAAAGAACTTAAAGCCTCACCTGACTGTGCACTTTGGAAGCAGGCGAAGTCGTGCCAGAAACCTCTGCAAAGATTTCAGTGCAGGATTGTTAGACTGAGGACTCGGCTATAGAGAACTGAGGCCAATATTTTTGACTGTATTGAGACGCATTCAGTATTTTGCTAAGATGTTTAATTTCTAGTGTTTATAATGTTCAGTCTTTATTGCTTAAGTTTATTCTGTAATTTAAGATATTTAAGCCTTTTAGGCATTTGTCCTGCTTTTGTAAATCTTTTCTGTTGTTGTACACTGTAAGTCGTAAACATGTGTTTGGGTGGGTCGGCATGTACAGATTAGAAATTTGTTCAAAACTGACAATTTTGCTTAATGCAGACGAATTTAATCCACCTGCCCTCTGAAGTTAACATATTTTGCTGAAGTGAAGTATTGCAGTAAAGTCTAATCTTGTTATCAGCAACAATGTCTCATTTTATTTGCACAAGTATTTAAAAAAAATTAAACAACATTCCGCCCGTGTCTTTAATGCACAAGACCAATTTACACTAGAAGCTGAGTAACAAAGACACTGTACATATTATTTTAATTTCATAATTCTTGTCTCGCAGTGTTACTTTATATTATCGTGGCTCAAGAGTTGGGAGTTCGCCTTGTAATCGGAAGGTTGCTGGTTCGAGCCCCAGTGTGTGATCGTGTGTGTGAATGGGTGGATGACTGGATGTGTAAAGCGCTTTGGGGTCCTTAGGGACTAGTAAGGCACTATACAAATACAGGCCATTTACCATTTACCATATCAGGCTTTGCAGTAATTGAGTAATATTTATGGACTACACCTTGATAATGACCACAAGTTCTGAAATAAAATTATACTTTAACATTTACAAAAAGTATATGTTTAAAAAAACTTACTTCATGTACTGTTTGTTTGTTTGTTTTTGGGTTGTTGGGTTTTTTTTGGTTTTTTTTTAAGAAATCCAGCAAAATGTTTACTTTGCCATATGACTGTTCAAGTGAAACTGACTATGTGGCATTTGTGTGGCGTGTTTGGCTCAGGAAGTTGAAGACAGAGCTGCAGGATGTTAAGAGGAAAGGGGCCAAACGTGCCAGTGAAAAATACAGTCAGCATAGCTGTGGCCGATGCCTGGAGCCTTTGAGCCGACTGACTGTTTTTTCCAGCCAGTGTAAGATGTGCAATCACATCGTATGTCGCAACTGCCGGATGGTCCTGCCCGATGGATCCTGGCTGTGCAACGTGTGTGCCAAAGAATCGTAAGAAACGTTTTAAATTAAACAAATATTGTATCTTCAAAAAAACAGGGTGTGTGGGGTTAGGTTGATGTTTTATATTTGAAAGATTTCCATCAAAGCCCAAGTAAGATTCCCATTCGTGCTTCTGAATATTTAAATACTTAAGCAGCCATTTCTCAAAGCAAACTGCCTTGACAATTTTCAGCTGTAGATTTTCTTCCACATTTTGCACATAAACAAATATTTTTTGGACGATGTATAAGATTGGTTCAGAATAATTTAAGGTGCCCATTGTGGCTGAAAAGAAATATTTCATCCCTTGTCCAAAATCCTTTCCAACTTTGAGAGCAGTTTGTGTAGTTTTGAATGCAGATACTGACCAGAAAATTATAATGGTAATTTTTTAATCACATATTAAAGCAATTAAAACTCTTTGAAGGGTAAAAGATTTTTATTGACATTTTTATTTAAATTGGCGAAACCAGTTTTTCCTGGTTAAGCCAATTCTTAACCAGGAAAAATTTGGTTTCGCCAATTCTTGAGTATGATAGCCCACTGAGCTTTAAAGTCTGCATTGCCTCAGAAATATGTGGCCTTTCAATTCATTTCTGCCCATTAATTAGCTCAGTTATGAATATAGCTCATCATTGATGCAGGTTTGCAGTGGCTTACAAAGATGCTATAGGATTGGTCCTTCAGGTTTCCAGGTGACACAGTGCCAATCAGCTGTTTGTCTTCTGGGGTGTTCCTACATGTCAGGCACTTCTATGATATATGAACATTTTTGTGTAACTTGGATAAGTCAGCGGACAGCATCTGGGAGGTTTTGACTAGCCACTGGAAGAGCTGCTTTTGGTATTCATCCAAGTTCAACAGACACATGAATTGCTCTGTCACATGAAGTGACAGCGCATGAATTGCTTTTGAGACTAATGATTGATTTGCTAGGTTTCATTTTGCATTGTGTATAATACAAAGTGCCCCCAGCAGCCTAAACCTGTAACAGAATTACAAAATTATGGTTCAGGTTCATCTGATCTGGCTCTAAATATGAGCTTTATCAAAAAGTTGTAAACTGATCTTAAAAGTAGAGAGGGTGTTTCCTGAAGATGAACTGAGATCTGGTTCCAAAGGAGAAGGGATTGGTACCTGAAGTAAGCCTGCAGTCTGAGTTGTTTATAGGGATAATATGATACTAAGAGGTCTTTAAGATGTGATGGGACCTGACAAAGGAGAAATATGATCTCTCCTTCTAGCTCCTGTTAGTGCTTGTTGTGGTGTTTTTGGAACAAAGGCTTTCTATGAGCTTTTAGAATAACCTGATAATAGGTAATTACAATAGTCCAACTCTGGAGTAACGGAGTAATGAGATGTTATTATGTCACTTTGGCCGTACTGAACAGATGAAAGAAGGCAGTCCTAAAGCTTTGTTTTAT